ATGGGCTAAGTTGGCATCAGATTGATGCGGGCACGTGGTAGGGAGTAGTTGTGCATAACTGCCAGTCGGTTACCGAGCGGTTACCAAGCAGTTTAGGGACTGCTGGACTCGAGGTCTATAAGTATGCCGCTGAGGGCATATACACGGGGACAGAAAGAAAGAACGAGCGCGAGATAGCGAACTCGAGAGCATGATCAAGCGAGTGACCACAATATACACTCTGTAAGAACTCGGAATGAGTATTGAGTGCTAAACACGAGAGTGCAAGGCAAGGCAAGCAGACGAGTGAGCTAGGGTGCGAGCAAGTCTGTGTATTGTGTACTAGTAGGTGCGTGATTTGGCATACGCTTAAGTGTTATAGCAAGCGTGTGTAAGGCCAGTATTAGTATGCATGTATGTGTGCCTGCGTGCACAAGAGAGTAAGTGTTGAACCGTGTATACAAGCTGTAGGGTCTTTCATTGTACTTTGTGATATATGAGAGTGCTTTGGTTGGGCGCAAGCCTGTAATTGTACGTGTCGTTGATTTACTTGATTGCTTTCGCATGCGTGTTGAGTGACGTGCTTGCATAACCTTGATTAATGCTTGTATGGGCGAGCGAATGATCAAGAGACGGTGAAAGGCTGACTGGTTTGTGGGAAATTAGGCCGCATAGGGTGCTAAGGGCGCGAAAAATTCTAGCCTCTATCTAGACCCTGTGACAAATGGTATCAGAGCCCACGTTGGGTTCTGATTGGTGATCGTGTTGGAACAATGGGCGATGATGTTCCTCCTGATCATCAACTAATGATGACCTTCGAAGCGCGGGTACAAAGGCTGGAGGATATGATAGGGCGACCTCCTCAAACGCCACTGAATGCAGCGGTCTTCGAGCGGCTACAAACAACTGACAATGCGCTCGTTGACTTAGGCAAGAAGGTGGATGCAATGAGGACCTCGGTGGAGTCGCTGCCTGAGTTCGTTGAAAGGCGAATGGATGCCATGCGAGACGAGTTCATGCTGCTGTCTGAAGCAGTTGAGTCCAAGATCACCGAGATCCAGGATGACATTGCCTTAATAAAGTGGGTGGATGCTAGTTTGCTCGCGGAGCAGCGCCAAGCCCTGTCTAAAGTCCGAATTCCAAATCCTAAGACGTTTGATGGTACCAAGATGCCAAGGAAGTCAAAAATTTCCTTTGGGATATGGAAGCGTACTTCCATGCAGCCAGGGTCCAGGACGACAAGAAAGTGTCGATAGCGAGCATGTTCTTGTCGGGGGATTCAAAACTCTGGTGGCGGGCGCAAGCATCTGATGACGTGAGTGCGAACCGGGTGGGAATCAACACATGGGATTCATTGAAGAAAGAGTTTAGGGATCAATTCCTGCCTTGCAATACTGATTGGGTTGCAAGGGAAGCGCTAAGAAACCTGAGGCAGGATGATACAGTTCGTAAGTATGTCAAGGACTTCAACTCCTTGATGCTCGACATAAACGAGATGTCGGAGTGGGACAAATTGTTCAATTTCATGGCTGGATTACAAGGATGGGCCCAAGCCTAGTTGTAGCGGCAAAGGGTGATTGATCTACCTACGGCTATGGCTGCCGCCGAGCGCCTTGTCGATTTCAAGGTGATTGGTGCCTCTGACTCGAGTGAACATGTGAAACACTCAGGTAAGAAGGATGGAAAATTCAAGAAGTTCAAAGGTGGAAAGCACCGAGAGAAGTCCGGCGAGGGGAGTAGCGGTACACCCCGTGAGACGTCCAAACAACCAACGATGGTGGACCGAAGTCATGGCTGCTTCTTGTGTGATGGTGACCACTTAATGAAGGATTGTCCCAGGTGGTTCAAGGCCAAAGCCAACGCCTTAGTGGTGAAAGGCGGAGCATGCGACTATGAAGGCACAATTGTCCTTAATTCGTTGATGCTGTTGAACAACGTAAGTGTCTAAGATGAACCAGCATGTTCGGGTTTAATGTTCGTGAAGGTGTCTGTGAAGGATAAGCAAATCATGGCTATGGTGGACACGGGTGCCTCGCATTCCTTCATGAACGAGGCGTTGGCCTCGCGGCTAGGCCTTAAATTGGAGCCGAGTGACGGGAAGAAAATGAGCACCGTCAAGCGCACGAAACAAATCAAAGGGGTGGCCAAAATAGACATGGTCATAGGGCCGTGGAAAGGTACGTGCACGGTGCATGTGTTGCCTATGGATGACTTTGAGTTAATTTTGGGCATGGGTTATCTCAAAGAGGCGAAGGCCTTTGTGAAGCCACACCTAAATAAGATGGTGTTCATGTTGGATGGAACGGAAGAGTCCCTTGATGTTTAGCAAGCAGTGCAGAAAAAGAAAAGAGCCATGCGGGTATCGGCTATGCAAGTCGAGCAAGACCTGGGGCAGGCTGAACTACTTTACCTGGGTGCAGCAACTAAATGTTATTCGGAGGGGCCGGATACTTGTTATACTAAATCTGATCGTGATATGCTTGGGGACAAGGGTGAATCAACGAGGAAGGTTCACGTTATTTTGGACCGAAAGACCCGAGGACAAAGAAGTAAAAGACGGACTTTTTACTTGGTCCAGTGGAAAGGTGAGCCGAGGGCTAAGGCAACCTATGTACGGAACGTTGAGTTGGCTCCATACACGAGGCAGATAGCAAGGTTCGAGGCATGCTTGCGAACTTTCCCCACGTCGACGAGGGCGTCGACGAACTTAAGTGGGGGAGGTCTGTTACGGTGGTAACATTGAGACCCGGAACTTGGCATGATCCCTTAGCATGTCAAAGTCCAAGTGACCCGAGCACAAAGGTGAGAGGCGTCGACTAAGGGAAGGACGCGAGCTAGGCGCATTCTTGTGGCTAGATATTGGGTTCAGTCGGGTCTTCGTGGGGCGACGAAGACATATGTGCGATACTTAGCTATATTTGTCCAAGTGTTGGTCGGATCATGTTGGTGGGTTAAGTCGAGGGCTCAGTCGGACGAGGATTACCGTTGGTTGTGCATGGCCTTTTGGGTACGCGGGTTAACTCAGGACGGTATGGTGCGGAGCAGTGCAGTGCTTTGCATATTTGTCGGGTAAGGCGCGGACAAGGGCGAAGTCCAAGCGCACAGATGCACTCGGACGAGGGTGTTGACTAAATCTTACAAGGCATGGTCGACTTAGGTGAATTTGGGCACGAGAGTGCTTCGAACAATGCATCTCAATGGGCACGAGTGCTGGAGCCGCGTCAAAGTATTGGCGTGAACGGTTACCAATTTGAATGGCGCATGTGGGCTGCACGTGGGCAGTTGGTTACTGGTACCACTTGGCCTAAGCGGGTTTTCATTCCATCGAAGCGTTGCATGGCCGATTGAGTGTAGCGGATGATACGTGTCCTGGCGGTTCCAAGGGGCACGTGGCACGACAGTTATTGACCCGCGAATTCGGACAAGATATATGCGAGCGGTTGGCGACCGTCACGTTGATGCGGGCACGTGGCAGGGAGCAGTTGTGCATAACTGCCAGTCGGTTACCGAGCGGTTACCAAGCAGTTGAGGGACTGCTGGACTCGAGATCTATAAGTAGGCCGCTGAGGGCATATACGCGAGGACAGAAAGAGAGAACGACCGCGAGATAGAGAACTCGAGAGCGTGATCAAGTGAGTGACCACGATATACACTCTGTAAGAACTCGGAAAGAACATTGAGTGCTAAATATGAGGGTGCAAGGCAAGGCAAGCAGACGAGTGAGCTAGGGTGCGAGCAAGTCTGTGTATTGTGTACTAGTAGGTGCGTGAGTTGGCTTACGCTTAAGTGTTATAGCAAGCGTGTGTAAGGCCAATTTTTGTAAGGCCGGTATTAGTATGCATGTATGTGTACCTGCGTGCACAAGAGTGTGGGTGTTGAACCGTGTATGCAAGTTGTAGGGTCTTCCATTTTACTTTGTGATATATAAGAGTGCTTTGGTTGGGCGTAAGCCCGTAATTGTACGTGTCGCTGATTTACTTGATTGCTTCCGCATGCGTGTTGAGTGACGTGCTTGCATAACCTTGATTAATACTTGTATGGGCGAGCGAATGATCAAGGGACGGCGAAAGGCTGATTGGTTTGTGAGAAATCAGGCCGCATAGGGTGCTAAGGGCGCGAAAAATTCTAGCCTCTATCTAGACCCTGTGACACTTGCTCTGGTACAGGTGAACAGAAGGTGTTCCATGTCTTCATTTGCTTGTCCACAGATAGGGTAGATAAGGTCAACTGTCAATCGCCTCTTGATTAACATATCTTTGGTACTGAGGCACTTAAACCAACCTTTTCATAAAAATGGGTTTTATTTTAAAGGAGTACGGACATGAAGTAGAGGTAGTCCGAACAACATAATTGGGCAGTCTTGGGCAACACATCCCTATATAAGGGAGTAAGGTATGCCTCTAAGGACATTACATTCTCTACACATTTATATAACTCTACTCTTGTTTATCGTCTTCTTCACGTTCTGACTTGAGCGTCGGAGGCTCTTCACCGGAAAACTCATCCGGTGTGGAGTTTGTGTCGGTGTTGAAGGTCATCAACCGACAAGGAGGTAGATCAACCCAATTTCAACTGGTCAGAACAAAAATTGTAAAAGTTGATGTAAAAAAGAATATTCCAAGAATATTTGTTTAGGTTTGCATTTTAATTTTTTGATTAAAGATGAATTACTGTTTGACGTTACAATTACTACAAACTGGGTTTTACAATAGATATTTCGGTTAGGTATAGCCTAAGTGCTCTTGTTTTACTTATAATTTTTTACTTCAATTATGTTGAGCATTTTGAAATTTTAATTATCAAAATCTCATCTCAAATCAAAATTTTCCCACATGTAGCTTAAATTTCTTCAAAATTACGCATCCATCATCCAACAAAATCCACTTTTTTAACGGTACGATAAAGATAAAATAAAAACAAACCAAAAAATAATGGAAACGAAAATAATATATAGAATAGCTACAGAAATTGAACAGGCACCATTATCAAGAGCTTCTTATAGTCGATCTACAATTTCACACCCGAAAAAACCATCCTTCATTAAATCACAAACAGAACAAATTCATAAATCTAGTTTCAAAATAAAAATAATAAGTAAAACTTATTATGCATCACAATCCATACATCATATGTTAAGGATTTTCTACTAGCCAAACATATATAAGCATATAAAGGCAACAAGCGCAGAAATATTACAAGTCTACACCTAATCAACCTTTCAAGGCCTTATTATATCTCAACTTCCATCATCTTGAAAGTCATATCTGAAGCACATAACACCATTGAAACTCATATATAAAGCACATAACATCATCGAAACCTAATTAATGTGCCGATGCTAAGTGCATTTCGACCTTAACATGCTAATTTAATTGATTGCTTGCTTTCCAGCTCAAGTTGGAAAAAAAAGCCTGCAAACGCACGCAAACTTTTTCATATCAAGCTTTTATTATGTCCGGCATACACAAAGCGGGCAAGTAGGGTCGTGCTTTTCTTCCTGATCAGTTTTCTGGTCCAGGCAATCTGCATGATAAGTGTGGCCACACACTAAAACTGCCACAACAGAAAGATCACTGGAAGAGATTGAATTATCGATCACAAAAGGATGCTTCCTTAGACGCTTATTACATATCCTACACACCATTTTACGCAAGTCCCCATTCTGGGCAAATGAGTTTGACCTTATCCTCTCAGGTTTCACGAATATTTGGCCTCGGCTGTCTGAATATATATCATTTCATGCCAATAATAACAGATAAAATTCACTAAAATTGTCAACAAAGAAAGAAAAAAAAAAGCATGAGAAAATATTCAAACATATGTGAGTTTTCAGAAATTATTTTCCGAGGGTCTACATAATATCGTGGTGAGTCGGGCATCCTTTGAGAATTGTCATTTTTTACTCTCAGCTTTCAGAATGGAATGAGAATGGAGATGAAAATATCAAAAACTATCAATTTCACTCACATTCACCTTTTCCCTAAAGATCACTTCAAATAATCATTTTTATACAAGCAAAATCATTAATCTTTCACATCTTTTTTTTTTTATATATATATATATAAATTTCACTATTTACGCACTCATAGTCATAGTTCTAACAGCCATTCATATCAAAATTGAGAAGTAGAGAGTACCACTATATGGGGAGCCTGAAATGTCCTGTCTGTCTAGTATGAATGACAACTTATGATCATATGGAGGGCCCTTGGAGTTGGAAGGGGAGGCATCACAAGTGATATTCGAGTTTCGTCTGGAATAATGACGACCCAATGTATGACGAGAAGTTCTCGACAATAACAAATGAGAAGTGGGGCCATGGTTTTGATCGAGAGGGGATTTCTTAATAGAGTTATTCAAAGCTTCCATAAAGGACGGTGGACGTTGTGTTGCACTGCTTTCAGCCGGTTCAGAAGATCTCTGCCCGGATAATAAAATATGAAAGCATAAAATAAGAGATTAGTGTGTGTGTGTGAGAGAGAGAGAGAAGAGATGATAAACAGACCTGCTCGGACGTGAGATCCAACGTGGGTTCACATTGTGCCAAGTCTGAAATACAAAGCCAACATTAATCAATAAAATGTTGATTTCATTGTGCTTTTCAATAGTTAATAAAGTTGAAAAAGGGCAGAACATATTCTATTGTAATGTCCACAGACTGAGCAACACACGATACGCTACAGAAACTGAAGTAAGGCAATCACGTTTTCTAGTTCACTGAAGAAAAAAAGACCCTAATACGGATAAGAACAGATAAAACGCACAAAATGTGCTTTTGTCAATAATTCGGGTTCTCATTGGTGAGAAGATAAAAGATCTCCATGGCTTAAAACTATTTTTGTTGTCTGGGATTTAATTCTCATGAGCATGTCTCTCAAAGATCTCCATATACACAGTTTTAAAATACGATCAAATCAAGTATGATAAAAAATATTGTTTACTTAAATAATTTTGTTAATATCTGCAATAATTTCATTAATATCCATTATAATAAATTACAATATTCATTTTTCGTGATTCATGTTGATAATATTTTGGTCAACATTGACATTACAACATATTTTAAGTTCTAACCATAATATTAGTTTTTTTTTTTTTCACAAATATTCACTTTTTATCCAAAATATTTATAGAAATTGTAAGGTAGAACTTTTTTCTTCCAATTAATCAGCTGAAATTAAGTTGGTGGATTAATCTTTGCCAATATAACTTTTTCTTAAGCTTTATTTTTGTATATATAAAAAATAAATTTTTCTTTAACTTAATATAATTTACCATTTAAGAGATAATGACCAGATACATTAAATAGTTTTACTAATAGTTAAAAATTTAAAATGGAATATATTAATTGTTCTTTAAAATTTATTTGTATATTATTGGCAACCATGATTATTTTTTTTCATCTTTTTTTTTTATTTTGATTTCTTTCTATAATGAAATTCTTGTAAAATATATTTTCATTGCAGAGTATGCTAAATAAACTATAAATCATAATGATGCAAATTAAAAAAATCTTGATTATGGAAGGGATTGAGTTTTTGGCATTTGTTAAATCAAAGTTGTTTAATTAATATACAAAATTAAATTTTGAAAAAACATGTGTGTATATTTATTAAAATATTTATACACTATTTCATTTTATATCTATTTACATATTTTAAATTAATTACATAAATAAGTAATATTAACGTGCATTAAATATTTTTCATTACATAACATAAAAAGAAAAAGAAGACGTACAACTTTTATAACTTTTATAAATAATAATGATATTACATGACAACAAAATTTATAATAAACTAATAATTAAGTATTATATGGTGAACAAGAAACTTTCTCTTATATCAAGAAATAAATATATATACTAAAATCAAATTTATATTAGTACAAATGTGTTAGTAAGATAATATATTATTTATTTTACAAGTTAACTCTAACATGCTCATATTTAATGTTCTGATTAAAAAAAAAAACACTGATTAAAAGAGGTGAAAAATAGATTATAACCGTATTGTTTTTAAGACTTAATTTTGATTATAGAATGTGGAAAATAGATGATAAACCTATTACTTTTTAGACTTAAACGGACAGAGCATGTGAAAATAACTCATTTAATATCTCTGGCACGTGCATCGCACGGGGTACGTACTAGTCAAAAAAATTGATTTCATTGTGCTTTTCAATAGTTAATAAAGTTGAAAAAAGGCAGAACATATTCTAATGTAATGTCCACAGAATGAGCAACACACGATACATTATAGAAACTGAAGTAAGGCAATCACATTTTCTAGTTCACTGAAGAAAAAAAGAACCTAATACGAATATGAACAGATAAAACGCACAAAATGTGCTTTTGTCAATAATTCGGGTTCTCATTGGTGAGAAGATAAAAGATCTCCATGGCTTAAAACTGTTTTTGTTGTCTGGGATATAATTCTCATGAGCATGTCTCTCAAAGAGAGTAAAAGGAAAGAGAGGGAAGAAACTCGATTTTCCAGAGTAAATGGACAAGACATGTATTAGCATACATACAGTGATATTTCTAAGACTTTAAACTAGATTAGAACTTATCCAGCATCTATCATCAATAACAAAGCTCAGATAACGACAAACATGCGCAATCGGGCTCAGCAACAATGAA